GTTCATTAGGAAAGTAATACAGACTGAGGGTGAGTCACCTCAAGGGAGAAAAGGATGGATTAGGCTTGGAAAGTTTTAGTTGGGGTTTATTTGGCCCCTGGAATGATTTCCTGGGTTTGAGTCATTGGCTTGTTAAATGAGAGAGAGATTGCCTGTGTAAACTACCAGTTCCTTCTCTAATAAGAGCTTCTGTTTGAAATTTCTAACCTCTGCTCCATCCAGCTTCTAGATTGGGTCATTGTTTTGTTAAATACATCTGTGTAAACTCCAAGCAACCAGGCCTAGCTGACATTTAAGATGTAGTTGTATTTGAGTAGCTAACTTCAAAGCATGCCCAGACAGGGAGAAAGATGAGGACAGTTAAAATTTAAAGACAAACAGCCATCAGCGGAAGGGAAGAAGAAGCACGCCAAGACCCTATAAGAAAATTGGGTACCCAACTATCAGAAAGCTATATCCAGAGAGGGTTGCAAATCATACCCAAAATTAGGTAAAAACATTTATACACACAGCACCATGGCTCAGTCTTTCTGGGCCCCTTCCATATGGTGGGAGCATCTGACATTCTTTACTTCAATAAAACTTTCTTCTTGCCACTCATTTTCCAAGCTTGTCATTCTTCTCTTAACCCTGGACAAGACCCTGGACTGAAGAACTCAAAACCTCAAAACCAGTATCAAATGTACTCCCAGGTCAACAGTATGATGAAAAAAACCCCAAAAAACTGCTGACCTAATAAAGCATTAAAAGGTGGGGATGGGGGGAAGAAACAATTGCTCTTCTCTCTTGATGCTATCAATCTAGCAAGTTCACAGTGCAGTGTAAACTGGTATCTATTCATCCCTTCAGATACTTACTGATCATCTCTGGGGACAAAGTAGTAAACACACAGACAAAACCTGTACAGGTGATTAAACCCAAACCAAAAAAACCCCACATATAATATCAGGTAGGGGAAAAAGCAATGAAGAAAAGTGAAGAAGGGCAATAAGACAAAAGATAGTCACAGGGACTGAAGACAGGGAAGCAAGCATGTAAGAGACGAGAGATTCTTTGGAAGCATGTTTTCCCTCATATATTGCAGCTAGACCTATAAGTTAAATGTATATATAGAAACATATATGATCATATACACACACACATATGTATGTGTGTGTGTGTGTGTGTGTGTGTGTATATATATATATATGTATAATGAGAGAAAAAATAAAATTGTATTAGTGAGTCCTGAGGGGGCAACAGGAGGCAGGAGAGATAAAGAAAATATTAAAGAATGAAAGATATTCAACAACCCATCTATACATGAATATAATATAATGTACTGTATGGTAAGCTGTTGAATATTAGGGGAACATGGTGATAGAGAATGAGTAACGGGTGGGGAGTTAATTTGATTAAAGTGCAACATATGCAGACCTGAAGTTCCAAGGCAAAACCCCCTTGGACTATCAATATACACTTTTAAAAAATGAAGGACAGAGGAAAAAAAATGATTCTTTTTTGGGGGTGGGTATCAGTGGGAGGGGGTGGGCACAGGAAAAGTGGAAATGAGGGTATGTATAGTGAATGTAATTTGTATCCGAATATGAAAACAGAATGAAACCTGTTGAAATTGTTCTAAGAAGTGGGGGAGGAGGGAAGAGGGAGAACAATAAAGGGGGGTAAATCCACCTAAAATGTATCATAAGCACATATGTAAATATCATAATGTATCCCTCTATACAAATGCTATAAATTTTTTAAAAAGAAAAAGGGCTAGAGGTATGGCTCAAGTGGTAAAGCACCTGCCTACCAAGCACAAGGCCCTAAGTTCAATTCCAGTCCTGCAAAAAAAAAAAGAAGAAGAAGAAAGATAGACAACTCTGACTGTGAGGAGTCAATATTGCATGTTATTACCAAAAGCGAAAAAGAGAAAGTCATGCTGTGTCAGGAGAAGTCATGGGTTAACAGAAGTTGTGAATAAACAGAAGTTATGAGTAAGCAGAAGTAATGAACACTCAGAAATCAGGAATAAAAATCATGAATACATGCAAGTTACGAGTAAGCAGAAGGTATAAAATAAAGACAACAGAGGAAAGTAAGTTCAGAACGAGAGCAGTAAGAACACAGCAGGAAGGAAGACGAAGAAACCAAGAAACCAAGGCCAACAAAATAGATTACTAGGACTGCTGTGCATCCAGCACTACCTTTCAGGTCACCAGCTGCATTCAGGTCTCCAAGGGGCTCATCCCAGATGGAATATTTGCCTACATATTTATCTACAGATAAATTCCATGCTATTTAAGGTAAAGTGAGTGAGACAGGGTATGTCTCATCTCCTCTGTGTTTTTTTTTTTTTCCTGGACTTCTGGGTTTGCCCAATCCTTTGGCCTCAAATAGTGATCTCAGTCCATGAGTCTAAATGACCTTCCAACTCAGCTCTTCATAGCTGAGCTATAAATTCCTAAAAAATTACAGGGGCTGGCTGATTCTTTGCTTCATTTAGGAGTTCTAGAAACTACAACATCAGCTCATCTAGATTGGCAGTGAAAGAAGGCAAGGGACTATCACACCCTTATTACCCCCAGGCTGAAATGGGCAGAGGGAAGAAAGCACATTTCCATAGCCTGGTTGAAAGCTAGAGCCATGGAAGAGAGGATACCAAACAGCTCTGTGGTGTAAAGACCTAGCCAGTGGCAAGTATGGCAGGAATGCAATAGAAGAATGTATAACACCCCTCTCCTGGCTAAATGCAATCTGAAACCAAACCTAGGGTACAGAAAAGGGCCATGAAAGGTTGGTTTAAAGAGAGAAACAGAAAATAACCAGTCCATCACACCTTACTGTCAAAAACACTCTATGCTACAAAGAATGTGTGTATTTTGGTAATAATTTTGTAAAGATAGAACAGATTGCCCCAACACAAATACAAAATACTACACATTTCTACACATAGAAAATACTTATTAGTTTTCACTAGTGGCATCTGCCATGGATTGTTAAGGGCCAACCTGCCTGAACAGGCCACATGAGGACCTCAGAGGATAACCCATTGTGAGGAAACTTTTCTCAAGTTCTAGAATTCTCAGAGGCCCTGATTCAATATTGGGAGCTTCTGCTTAGTTTCTTCCCAGCTCGTGGGTACTCCACTGTAGAGCACTTTTCCTAAGTCCAGATGAACGAGTTCATCTTACTAATGAGTCTTTATCTGCTTGGCTCTGCCAGAGGTGAGTCTTCTACAGACAGCTAGACTTTAGGCAGATACTAGAGAGTGCCTCCTGTAAGGTGTTTCTGCCCTTAAAAAAGGAAGCCCAGTCTCTTAATTACCAGAACTAACCTGACTCAGAATCAAGAGTAATGAAATAAGACCAAACCTGAACAACTTGATTTCTCTTCGTTATGGCTTTACAGTTAGAGGGGCCCACATGCCTGGCATATCCCTATTCCTGGTTCTTTAAGCCACTCAACACTTGTAGTACCTGACATTCTGTGAGATAGGAGAATAGGCCCAGGAATTCAGTAGCAGTCCAGTGAAATCTGTCTTTACCAACCGAGTATAAGGGATTCTTGTGTAGTTAATGTGACAAAGAAAGATATGATTGGTGATGTGCCTAGAAAGTCATCTCAGAACATGGCAGGGCTATGATCCAGAGACCTGATAAGCCTCTACATCATGGCTGTGTTCATCCATGTAGTTCTTGGCATACCTTTTTGGGATACTCTATTAATGGAGGGCTGTGCCCTAGTAGAGAAAAGAGAAAACATGAGCTCTGAGCTGTTGGGTGAAACGACAAAATATTTTCTGCAATGTTGCTTTTCAGAGATTTTGCTTTCAGAAAGTTGACACCTACAAAATGGTTGAATGTACCAGTCATGTACTGAAGTAATAAATCATAAACTCTAAGAATGACTAAGAAGTAACTGATAATAAATATACATCTCTTACAGGATTCTTATAAAGCTAGAGGATGTTGGACCTTATCAGCCTAGAGATCCTACAATGCCTCTCAGCTTTTGGTTAGGACTAACAATGATTGTTATAGTCCACTTGCCCTCCTCTACATTCCTCAGTCTAATCAAAGAGTAATAATCATATGTTTTATTTGGTGCTTCCATTCAAATAAAATGAAAGTCATAAATCAGGTGTATTTGAAAATCACTAATAAAATGGATTAAAGGTAGAAGAGACTGACCAAAGAATGACCACCTAAGAATTCTGTAATTCCCAGTGTAAGATGGAAATTGATTACCTAGGCAATGGACAAGACACTTCAGTTTATCTTATTGAATACCTGACAACTCCATGAAGCAGGTGTAAATGGTATGTCAGAAAGAATCTCAATTCAGAGCTATATGATAAGATTTTTGTTTGTTTTTGCAGTACTGGTGTTTGAACTCAGGGCCTTTTGAGCTTGTTGGGCAGGCACTCTATTACTTGAGCCATGCCCCTAGCCCTGACAGGAATTTTTTAACCCAATAATTTATAGTAACTCTGCTATCTAAGTCTCTGAGCCACATGGATTAGGGAGTGGGTGGTAAGGGAGGGGGTGGGGGCAGGGGGGAGAAATGAACCAAGCCTTGTATGAACATATGAATAATAAAAGAAAAATGAATAAATAAATAAATAAATAATATAAAAAATCACATGAGCTAAACACACAAAAAAATAATAAAAATAGTATGAGTTCAGTACTTCTAAAGTAAAATTCAATAAGTATGGCTTATTGTTTTCATGGGCTTATTGCTACATAGAATAAAAAAGCTTGAATTTTCTTACTGGGAAAAAAAAAAAAAAAAAGGTCCCTTAATCCCTTTTAGCATTTATGGCCTTGGGGCTAAAGGGATAACTCAAATGGCAAGGTGCCTGTGTTGCAAGCAGGAAGCCAAGTTCAAATCCCACCAAAAAACAATGATTTGTACAGCCTTGTGAGGTACTTGTCATTTTCTAGTTTAAACTTTATCCTGTATAAAGGTTAAAACTCTCCACCAATTGTCCACTCTTGTGTGAAGCCCTGGGTTTGAGCTCTAGCACCAGAAAAGAAAAAAGAAAAAAAAAATTGCCTGCCCTCAATTTAGGAAGGGATTACTCACTCAGCCATTGGAAGCTATTTGCCTTTTCTCTCCCCTCTATCTCCTTTCACCCAGGAAGGAATTGGAGGGAAGGTTGGTGGCAGACTTCTGATGACATGAGTGAAGGTAACTTGATTCCTAATGCTGTCTTTGTCAGGGAAGTACATTCATTTCCCTGCTTTTAGTGCTTCTGATGCATGGGTGAGTGGATTCCCCTTAATATTATGTATCTTAAAATTCTTCCCTTCAGTCCTAGAGGCGGTCTCTGCACTTTTCATTAAACACTTCTGGAGTAGTTAGTTGACTTCATCCAGCATCTGTACTATCTCTAAGCACCTGCTCTAGACACCCTCCCCCCCACAAGGAAACCTAGGAATCCCCATTTGTCTCACTCCAAAGGAAAATAAGTCTTCACCCCATTCTCTCTTTCACCTTCACCATCTCTCTTCCATTCTCTATCCCAGGAACGTCAGGCCAACCTGATGAGCCTCTTGGCTCTATGAGTCGTAAAGATTCATTTCAGCAACTTTCAAGTGACTACTTTTCAGATGTTGAGGCTTTATATGAGACTTCTTCAAGCAAGAATACTTTGAGTGAGCACAGCTCGGGTGAACATGGTTCAAGTGAGCATGGTACAGGCGAGCATACTTCTAGCGAACACATGAGTGAGCATGCTTCAAATGAGCACACTATAAGTGAACACACTTCAGGTGAGCACATTTCAGGTGAGCATGCTTCAAGTGAACAGCCTTCAGGTGAAAAGTCTTCAGGTGAACACACTTCAAGTGAACCTTCAGGTGAATCTTCAGGTGAACAGTCTTCAGGTGAACAGTCTTCAGGTGAACAGTCTTCAGAACAGGTTTCAGGAGAACAGGCTTCAGGAGAACAGGCTTCAGGAGAACAAGTTTCAGGAGAACAGGCTTCAGGAGAAAAGTCTACAAGTGAACATGCTTCTAGTGAACAGTCTCCAGGTGAACAGTCTTCAGGTGAACAATCTCCAAGTGAACCGCCTTCCAGCACACCAATTTCAAGCACATCTTCAGGTGGGCCACAGTGGATGGGTACTAGTCTTTGACTTCACATGGAAAGTGGGAAACAAATCAGGAAAACCCAATTTTAGGGAAGGAGTATAGAAGAGTCATTAACACTTCACAAAGACTCCGAGGTCTCATTAGAATAATTCCAAGAGGTATGTTCTAGGCTTCACAACTTGGAGGCCCTATTTTAAGAAAAATGAAAATACAAAATTTTATATTTAAAATGCCAGTAGTTCCTTCAACTCCATTCTCCATAAGAATTATGAATACAAGTGCCTACAGGTCCCTGGAAAAGGGGCTCATGGAAGTGCAGAGTTCTGAAGACTAACACGCCATGTAAAGCACACAGACATTTTGGCTATTGGATCCAAAATGAAGTTCCCAGAACTCTAATTCTGTTGCTTTTACTTAAAAGGGGATAGGGAAGGAAGAAAAATAAGACCCAAAGTTTGAAGCCTCAAGTTACTATCAGATATAAATACTTCATATTTCACCCCATTGTGTAAGTATTCAATGTAATACTTACACAATGTGAGTTAAAAGTAATACCTTAATGTCAGTCACATGCCTAGAAAGTGGCAAACCTTGGATTCAAACTTAGGTCTGTTCAAAGCTTGAGTTCTCCCCCTCTCCCCAGCACAAACTTTTTAAAATGTCTCCTGATAGGGGATTATCACTACAATTAGTAAAAGAGCATTTCAAAGAGAATGCCATCTGTGACCTCCAATAAGGCCAATTTGGAAATGGAGAATAATGCAGACTCTTCATAGGATTGCAATGTTATAGCATCCTACCATAACTTATTTATCAAATTTGACTCCAAGTGTTTGTGTCTTATGAGTATGAGGTTTGGCAGGCAGTATGAAAAGGAACTGGTCATATGATACTTTGCTCCTAGACATGATAGAAAGGCATATCTACTCATAAAAGTCCAGGAAGCCATGGGAGAAATGAACTAGAATAAAAGCCAGTATTAGATAAATTTGGAATTCCTCAGCAATACACAAAGCATAAGAATCAAGGTATTTCCTCTGGGACAGAAAAGAGAATATGCTCTATCAGACACAGAGCCCTCAGATCCCCAATAAGAACTAAGAAATGTGTTGTATGCAGTCTACTTATCGCTTATCACCCCCTCCCCAGACATGACTCATATAAACATACCTGGACAATAAGGAAATTCCATCAGGCTTATCTTAAAATTTCAGGCACAGCATTAACTTGCCACACATGTGCTTATATGAATGATCAAGGAAAATGTCTTCGTGGAGAGGGAGTCTGCACCACTCAGAATTCTCAGCAGTGCATGTTAAAGAAGATCTATGAAGGTAGGTAGGAATTTCCTGAGGGAATCTTTGGGAGAGAACACATCAACTAACCTATGGTGGCAGGGGACTGGGGGTGGGGGAGATGAAGGAACTTGGATTCAGAAGAAACTCATTCCTTCAAGGATTAAGAATAGAATCCCAGATACTGATGTAGAGGTAGAGGCCCTTCCCAGCAGGCCTAAGACTTCTTAAAAAAAGAGGCAAGGAGCTTATGTCTTGTGTCTTCATATTAAAATATCATGTGAGTTGACCCTGAAGCTGCTGAGACATTGTAAACTCAGGACTATGTCATTTTGTGCATAGCTATAAATTCCTGGAACCTACCAGAATGTCCTGCAGATGGTAGGCATTTAGAAAATACTGAATGAATAAATTAAATGTCTACAAATCTACATTCACATTCTTTTTTTTCTTTCAAAAGAAGTTAAATTTAACAAAAAGTGAGACAAAGTTCTGGAAGCTCTCAGGGGAATATAGATTAGAGGTGCAGGGAAGTCTGAGGAGGTGGTGGCATTCAGAAAAATCTTTGGGGGAACATGTAAGATGTGGGTCAGTAGTGCTGTCTTAGCTGTACCTTAGACTCATCTGACATTAGACTCGTGAACAGTTTCTACAAGTCCCAATGTTCATGCTGCACCAACTGAAACAGAATCTCTGGAGATGGAATCCAGGCATCATTATTTTTAAAGTTCTTTGGTGATTTCAACATGCAGCCAGGATTGAAAAGAACTACCGATTCAGTCATACTGCAAGAGATGATAAAGGATATGCCAGAGACAGGGAATTACAGAAACAAAAGTCAGAAAAGTGCAGCATATAAACAGGAAAAACAGCAGAGTTTGTTGGGGGTAGCAAGTAGGGGAATAGAAAATAAATTTGGAAAGGTTGATTGGCTGAAGCCAGGTTATACAAGGCCTCCATTGTCAGTTGAAAGAGTTTGAATTTAGGAATTATGTGTAAAGGAGTGAGAGACTTGATAAAGTTAATACTAGTAATAGTTCTTTATTTACCTTCCCCCCATAGAGCAGACACATGAGATATACTTTAAAACATGCTTTTTCCTTTAATCCTCACAAAGTAGGACTTTTATTTTCTGGTTAACAGAAAGGGAACTGAAATTTGGAAAAGTGAAGTAGCTCTCTCTCAGCTCCTGACACCAAAGACCTTGACGTTAATTAATCTTAGTATTCTAGCATGGTTCTGTACACACAATAAAGGTTCTCTTAAAAGTTTGATGAATGGAAATGAAGGGACAGAAACAACATACTTTGCAAGAATAGAATTGAATGACCTTCACAACCAATTGGATGGACATGACAAAAGGGGAAATTAGGGGTAACAAAGAGTTTGAAAGGAGGTAGTACAGAAAATATATAAGGGAAACATCTGAAGAGCAAGCAATATGAGGATAGTAATGAGTTTCATCTTGGGTAGAGTAAATTTTAGATGTCTTTAGCATATCTGCATGAAGTTGACCATCAGTTAGTTAGAAATATGGAATTTAACTTGGGAGAGCAGAGATAATTGGATCTAGGTGTAACAAAGGGCAGCAGGGAGGACCTTGTCAGTAGAGTGTCAATGAAGAGGCTGTAGTCAACAGTGTCATGTACATGCAGAGAGGTCAAGAAGTATCCTGAGAAAAGGTTGCAGAATTTGATGAGTAGAACTTCCAAGTGCCCTTTGAGAGGAAGTTTCAGCATAGTGGAGTCAAGGTTCACAGTGCTAGGACCAAGATGTGAATGGGAAAGAAGTTAAGGTGAGGATACTCAGCTCTCTCTGGAGAGGTTTGTGGGGAAAAGAGAACAGTGGTAAGACAGTAGCATAGTTAAGAGAAAGTATTTTGAGTTTGGGAGAATTTGACCATGTCTGTAAATCAGAAAAATGATCTGTAGCAAGGAAGAGATTGAAGATATGAGAGGAATAGGTGAATGACGAGGGGAAGGTCCCAGAGGAGGCAGACAGAATGGAAGAGGGAGGAAAAATACATACACAGAAGTTTTGGCCATCCCTGCATGGGGATATTGGGTACTGTGGATAAAAGTTAAGGTTAGAAAAAGGAAGCTTTCTGTTAAGTCCAATCTGTCTCTGCTCATTTCAGGTGGAAAACTCCAATTTATGGTTCAGGGGTGTGAGAACATGTGCCCATCTATGAACCTTTTCTCTCATGGAACAAGGATGCAAATTATATGCTGTCGGAATCAACCTTTCTGCAACAAGATCTAGAAGCCCTGCTTCTTGCTTCTTACTCTGACTCAGGCAGCAGAGAGCTTCCATTACCCTATTTGGCTCAACTTATACTCAGCTTCTGCAACTAATCACATCTGCCTCTGCCTGAGCATCATACAGGATGCTCAAATACTTTATCTTTCCTTTCCTATTCATTCTTCTCTGTCCTCTGTCTTCCCTCTCCTCTTTCTTTCCCTCTTTCAATATTTCAGATTTTCTTTTTTCAATAAATTACTCATAGCTAAAGAACATAGGCTCCAACTGACTTCTTTTCTCATCAGTCCAGTTGCAGGATCTGTCTGATTTTCCTTCCACTCCCCATTAAGGTGGATACTTTCTGTAACCATTCCATATTCATGAAAGTGAAGGGAACACCCAAGGCAGAAACAAACAGGAATGCAAAGTAGGTATCACTCTTTTATGGAGCTTAACAATATTGTAGGAATTTCTCTCCCCCCAACTCCCCATACTTTTCCATCCCTATTTTCCTCCACACCCTCCCACTTGTAATATACAGAACTCGACCCTTTGGCTCATGAGACTTTTCAGTCTTCATTATCATAATGAGAATAAAATGATTCTTTTTATTTATTGCCTGTATAGATATGCAGCAATTCAAAACACTTAAATTATTTCACACAATGTTACTACTGAACATAATGGGGCAGGTGGAATACTTGAATAATACCTTATGGTATTTTCATATACATGGTCTCATCTGATCCTCAGGAGTCCTTATTTTATAAATAAGGAAATGTGACATAAGTGTTTTTATTTATACTCCATGTTATTCCTTATTGACCAAGGTTGCAGAACTAATGGCAAAAACCAAATATGCATGACCTCAATCTGAGCCATTTCCTCACACTGAATATTACCTACAATGGTTTTTCCAAGACCAAAATCAATCCTCTCCTCCTATGCAAGCTCACCTCCATTCAGTCATTACTTCCACTTACCTCAGAGTTTAAAGGCTACTGGTATCAGCTGGTGGTCTTAATGTATTTTGCAAAGTAAATTTTGATATTGGTATTAAAATTTGCTTTAAGGAAAATTAAAACTTAATATTGGTATCAAAATTCCCTTTTTAATACCAGGACTTTTGGTCTCATACTTAAGTACATCAAGAAACAAAGTCAGTTTTACTACATGTAAAATTTAAAATCCACATATTTATCTTGAATAATGTATAATTTTTATACACAAACATATATGAAATGACCCTTCTCCAAAAAAAAACTGGTAGCAGACTCTGTAGGCTAAAAGAAAATGGAACTTATCTGGGCAAGAAGAGAAATGAAAGAAAATCTGCCAACATTGTTGACTTTTTTGAGGAGAGGAGATAAATAGCTATAGGTGTTGAGAAAATAAAAGTTCAAATGTGTTGTTAAAATTTAAGGGCCAAGTCCACTTAGGTCCTGGGAAGGATCTGCTTACTTCCACTATAAAAAAAAATGTAAAGGTCAGGTTGCCTGGACCTGCTACCCTGCAGTAAGACCAACCTGGATGACTCAGGGCCTTACTCAAGTGATGCCCCTCCATGAAACAATAAAGTCTGAAAGCTGAGCTTTTATCTATTCTCATAATAAAGGCTTGAAAAGTGGTTAAAGAACATGAAATGAGATTCTTGGATTCCCAGTAAATACCAGTTTCAGTGTGGCGTGTCATTTAAAACAAACTGCAGTCCTGTGCCAGTGGCTCTTGCCCATAATCCTAGCTACTCAGGAGGCAGAGATCAGGAGGACTGAGGTTCAAAGCCAGCCCAGGCAAATGAGTTTGCGAACCTCTATCTCGAAAAAACCCTTCACAAAAAAGGGCTGGTGAAGTGGCTCAAGGTGTAGGCTCTGAGTTCAAACCCCAGCACCACAAACACAAAACTGCAATTTCAACAATACTTTCTTTGCCTAAAGAAACAAAATCTTTTTTCTTAAAAACAAAAATCTCAGAAGAAAACCTTGGGAGATGAGAAAGAAGTATGTCTAAAAGTAAAGTCTGAAGAATCATCTGCATGAAATGAAACATTAAAATACAGTTAACAGGGCCGTCACCTTGAGCCACTCCACTAGCCCTATTTTTTTTTTTTGAAGGGTTTTTCGAGATAGAGTTTTGTGGAACTGTTTGCCCAGGTTGGCTTTGAACCACGATCCTCCTGATCTCTGCCTCCTGAGTAGCTAGGATTATAAGCCTGAGCCACCAGCGCCCAGCTGACACATCTTTTGAGAACCTAAATTCTCTGATTATTTACTTTGACTTCAAATTCAGAAGGTATTCAACAGTCTTCAGAAACCTAAGAAGTGCTTGAAATAACTATAGTCATCTTGCTAATTCAAACTTTACAAATAATTCCATTGGAATTAAGTCAGCACAGGAAAATCCATTTTTATTCAGCACAGTTGAAGAACTCAACACAAAGAATCTGTTATTGCCATTTTTATACGTACAGAAAAATTCTAAATCTGTTAACTGTTTCATACCAGCGCAAAAAGAAACCATGGAAATGGAAGACACAGACATTGAAGACTCCTTACATAGACCATGGTGCAGAAGTTTTACAAACTGAGTGTTCTAACTGCAGACGAGATAAATAAGGACCTTTAGGTCTCTTTTTCTCTTCAAGAGAAAAATATTTTATCTGTATTTGAATGTCTGCAAATAAACTTTTTTAAGGCGAATCCTCAGCCTAGTTGGAGACATCAAGTGTTTGAAGAGAATGAGAACCCTTTTGACCTCATGATTGTATTTGTCACTTTCTGGACCCAGCAGAACAGTCATCACCCTAAAGTCAACAGCCATCACTGTTTTCTTTGGAGCAGTGACTGGTGAGATGTGTTGCTCTTTTGTTTCTACCAAAGGTAACATTGTCAAGTTTTTTTCTTTTTCCTTGTTAAATACATGATAAATTTGAGAAGCACATTATCAGGATATACTGTATCGACCTCTCCCTCTCTTCTTCCTTGGTAAATTTTTGGTCTGATTGGATGAGAGGGTCCAATTAGATTTATAAATGTCATGGTGAAGAAGTACCTCAGTGATGTTTATTTAAAAAAACTGATCTTTGGGGGTTAACAAGCCAGCCTGGTAGGATGTTTTCTATCATCATTTAACCAGTAATGGTTCTAAAAGCTTTGAGATCTACATGGCCTTAGACCTATTTTAATGACTGTATTAACTTACAAGCTCAGGTAGTATTTTTCTTAAGGCACACTGGCTGAATGTTGGCATGTGTAGCAAAGTGTTTACTTTCTTTAAATAATGAGCTCTGTAATATTTATGTTTCTAACAGTCTGTATAGTTAGATGTCTTTCTTCAAAGGAGGACTTTTCACAGTTATGGGACTTTCTTGTTTTCAGGGTCATAAGATGCCTTGCCTTTTTACTTTTCCCTTAAAGTCAATGCAGGTGAGGGTGGGTGGATAGAGATGTTTAGCATGTTACATGTAGTTGGGTGGGAGAGAGGGCTGTTAGTAATTTTTTTTTTCATCTTGCTTAAATACTGTCCATTAGCTCTCATGCCTGGCCAGCAAAAAAACAAAAAAGCTTTAAGTATGGAATACATGACTCAATTCTTTTTTTTTTCCCTAAAGAAAAGTTAATGCAGAATTTGGTAAAATTAACAGAGGCATGTTGCCTGATGTAAGAATGACTAAGTTAATCTCTTAATTTTTATTATTTGTCCAAGGAAACTGATAAGAATGTGTACCTCCCTTGGCTGCAGGAGCCACCCTGCACATCTGGGTTACCTGGGGTGCCAGCGCTTTCTGCCTAGTTGTGAATGAACTGGCATTGCTGTGGCAGTGTGGACCCTGCATTTCAGTGTATGGAAGGGAAAATTACCCAAATGTTTAGGCAAAGCGAGTGTTTCTCATTTTTATTTTTATCCCCCTCCCTCTTTTGCCTTTTACTTTTAAACCTTACATGCTAATATTGCAGGCCACAGACATGATAGGCAATGAGCAAGTGAGGAACTAATGGAAAAGTGTTTAAAACTCCTGCGTTCACTAACAGGTTTCTGAATGTACTGCTGTGGCCCACAGAGAGGCTCGAGAAGAGAGCAAGCAGATGCTGTAGACTTTAAATAATAAGCTACTGCAGACTTAAAGTTGTTGTCTCTGTGAACTTTAAAATTGTTCCTGTGCAGCTTATTTTATTTTTATTTAATCAAATAAACGAGGGTTTTTTCCATAGGGGGAAAAAAAAGACATAAATAAGGAACGTTTGGCAAAAAGTCTCTAAGCTACATTCAATGGTAACTCTTCTTTAAAGCTACAAGAGCAACAAATTCTAGGACAGAATGAAGTCTTTGGAAGCTCTTATAAGCTAGCTGAAACAGGAAAACTGGCTATCTGAAGAAATGTCAAGATTATAGAAAAACAAACATTTCACAACATATGAAGTCACTATGTTATAAACAGATTTTAAAGCTGTGAATTTACATAAGCTTTTCCTAGCTAATCCAAATTATATGTGAAGTGAGCTTTTTTCCTGTAAAGTTATTATCTTAATGAAGCTATGAAAAGGCTCTAATGTATGAACTGTATCCTGTTTTTATAAGGCTCATTACAAAAGAAAATCTAGAGAATGATGGGGCTAAAGAAAGTTTTATTTCTTGATAATTTTCCTAACTATAGTTAAAATACAGTGAATAAACAGTATGATTTAGTTATAAAAATGAAGAGCTCAGAGCCGGGCATGGTGGTTCACACCTGTAATCCTAGCTACTCAGAAGGCACAGATCAGGAGGATTGTGGTTTGAAGCCATCCCTGGCAAATAGTTCACGAGACCCTATCTCAATAAAACCCTTCACAAAAAAAAGGCTGGTGGAGTGGCTCAAGGAATAGGCCCTGAGTTCAAATCCCAGGACCGCAACAACAACAAAAAAAAGTAAGATCAAAGATATGGTCAAACATCCCAGAATAGATCAGTCCTCATTCTACCACTGGGATATGATTTGAGCAGCTGCTTATCAAAATTGAGCTTCAGATGACTGAGGATGTACC